TCATCTATTTTTCTCTTTTGTCCACGTCCAGGAAGATTAGCTACAGGGCCCATGGGCTGTAAATGTCTTGACAATGTTGTGCACAGTGGGCACAGGAACAGCCAGATCTCTGGAGAAGGACTTGGAGCCTGTAGATTGTCCAGGCTTTTCCATTATTGTGGTTCTCAAATCCTCAGACACTTTTTTGCTCTCCTTTCTTTTCTCCATGCTCAGTCATTTAACTGGTTGCAGGTGTGATTTCTATATTGCCAACACCCGTTGGTTGCTACAGGTGAGTTTCATTACAAATTAAAGGAGCATCACATGCTGGAAATACAACTATTTCTGATGGTTTTTAAAATGTGTCAATAATTCACAGTTGTAACATTGTAAATAAGTCAAAAACAAGGAAAAGCAAGTCATAGGCTCCTTAATGTGTAACTTTAAACTTAAAAATTCCAGTTTCTACTCAAATAGCATGCTTTTATTGACTTTTAAAACCATTAACATTATTTTGCTGAGTAATATAATTTGGAACTAATTTCCACTCATACATCTGCTTTGATTTGCATTATCTCAGCTAAATCTGTAAATTGTAAATCTGTGCACAGTTGTATGCTCATAGACCCAAGAGGGTGCCAAGTTTGAGCAGGACAATAAATTCACAAAGTAAAAGGAGCTCCAACAGACACAGGATATTTAGACCATTTTTATTTATTAGTAGCTGTTCATTACTAGGTCTTGTGTCCACTGGAATGTCTATTGCCTTGTATAATTTCTGCATTATTTTCTGAGCAAGTACAAGCACAACAAGAAAAATGTATTGTACAAGAATATTCAGCAAACTGGTATCACTGTACTGTACCTATTTTACTCAGCTTTACTACTATTATTAGTAGTCCTGAGAGGGACATGAATGTTTGTATAAACCTTTCATCTCAATTCAACAGTTAAGCCATTTCAACAAAAGTCAAAAATGTCAACCTGCTAGTGAAGCAACAGGAAATGTCCAGGGATCAGAGCTATGAATTAATGTTACTGTTCACCAGCCTCATAAGCTCTGAAAATATCAAATATGGCTTCTCTTTGCAGGGGCTTGCAAAGGCTTGTCAATGCCAATGGCATGAATGAGAGGCACAAACTTACAGCCAGTCTTTCACTTTTTAAAATTGGCTGCAACTGCTATCACAGTTGCAATGGTCAACAAATGATATAGATCACACCTGAAGTGACAGGATAGTATTTGGCTTTAAATTGAACTTTCAATATATACCCAAGTGCGCACACACACACACTTGTTATTATTTTTCTTTATATGGAGACTTACCCTAAACCTAGCTGTAACAACTACTTGCATAACCCTAACCCCTAACCCTTACCTAGACCCTAACCTTCACCCTTTTCATAGCCATTACGTGCCTAACCCTCTTACCTTTTAACCAAGTTGTCACTGTAAATTTTAAAGTTTTACATGGTGGAGACCACCAAAAGGAAGGCTGAGTCCCCACAGTGAGTGTAGGTTTTAGCTGTCATGGTGCAAGTAATACCAAGCATGTATGGGGACAAACACACACAGCACTCTCTATAGCCCCCTCCTTCCTGACACCTCATTGATCTCCGCTCATATTGTTTAATGTGGGGCCAAGAAGTCATTGTTGTTGAACTTTGTGAATGGGAGTGCTAATCAATACCTTTCCTGTCTTGCTTCTTTCCTGCTCATCTTCAGTACTAAACCTTTCCTCCTGTGCCCCTATACCATCCCAAATCATTAACTTATCAATACGTATCTACTTCGGGCTCCGAAATGTCTGCTGGTGTGGCTGCTTTGAGAGCCCTGCCTCCTGGGACTGAGCTGGGATGAAATGCCCCCTTGCTAGAATTAGACAGGTATATTTAACATTTAACCATTACCAATAGTCATTGACTTGAACTTGAGAGGAGAGGGATAAAGGCGACAATATACCTCAGATTTTTTTCATTTCTTTTTCCCTTTTTCCATCTCTGCGTGTATCATTGAATTTCCAGCAGCTGCACTAAATCCTGCTGGCTGACTGTAATGACTGGAAAATGAAATGCAGGTCGAAGGTTGAGGCTGAGCCTGAGAGCATTAAGCAGCTGATCAATACAGTGCTTGGATTTGCCTGGTCACATTAAGTAGCACATCTAATATGCCCTCTGCTCATCGATGCTTGGTCCGTATCATTTAATTATGCTGTGATGTGCTACAAGCACCTTGCCTAATTCATTAACATTAATGAGAGGAAGCCTTCTCTCACTTCTCAGCCTGCTTCTCATCTACGTTGATTACTCTAATATATAGTCCCCTTGGAAACATGATGTTCAATTAAAAATGTCTGCCATTCTATTGATCATTGCAATTGATTACCCAGATGAAACACACAGAAATAGAAATACGATATGACACAGTTTGTGCAGTTTAAGAAGGTAGGATACAATAGGTTTGTGTGTCTTACTGGCATAGAAGATAATATTTTTCCCTCTTCTTCCTCTGCATTTTCTGGGTCTAGGACCACAGTGATTCATCCATACGTTTATAGAGTTACACATTTATTTCTTCCAAAACAACCTGGATGATTTATATTTTGAGCAAATCTTATTGGCTGATACTGGATTATGACAAATAAACTGAGGTGAACCAACTAATTCTTCAAATTGAACTAACCAAATGACAAAATAGAACTTGTTTCATTCTCATGATAGATATCTGGTCTTACACCCAATCAGCAAGATGTCGTTTATTAATGAGCATCAACAAAACAAAATCAACAGTTGATTGTGTATGTCAGAGTGAAAACAAAGCCATGAAGTCAAGAGAATTGTCCGTAGACCCGCAAGGCAGGATTTTGTCAAGACACAGAACTGGGGAAGTGTACAAGAAAATTTCTGCAGCATTGAATGTACCCATGAACATGGTAGCCTCCATCATTCTCAAAGGGAAAAGATTTGGAACCACCAACAGTCTTCATATGGCCACCCAACCAAACTGAGTAATTGGGGGTGAAGGACTTTTGACAGACAGTTAACCAAGAACTGAAGGGTCACTATGAATGAGATCAGACTTCCTTTATTGAGATGGGAGAACCTTACAGAAGGACAACCATCAGCACAGCACTCCACCAATAAGGCCTCTATGGTAGAGTTGCCAGACAGAAGCCATTCCTCACTAAAAGGCACATGACAGCCCATTGGGAGTTTGCCAAACGGCACCTGAAGGCCTCTCAGACCAACTATTTGGCCACAATTCCCAACAGCATGTGTGGAGAAAACCAGGCACTGAGCATCACCTTACTAATACCATCCCTACAGTCAAACACGATGGTGGCAGCATCAGGCTGTAGGAATGTTTTTCTGTGGCTGGGACTAGGAGACTAGTCAGGATAGAGGGAAGGATGGATGTGGAAAATTAAAGAGCAATTCTGAATGAAAATGTTCTCCAGAGTGCTCAGGGTCTCAGGCTTGGGTGAAGGCTTACATTTCAACAAAACAATGAAAGAAAACACTGGAGTAGCTTCATGAAAACTGAGTCCTGGAGCGGCCCAGCCAGGGTCCAGACTTGACCCCAACAAAGCATGTCTGAGAGACCTGAAAATGTGCACCCACACCTCCATCCATCTTGGCTAACCTAGAAGGATTCTGCCAAGAAAAATGGGCAAAATTTCCAAAAGAAAGGTGCCAAGCTTGCAGCTTTATTCTCAAGAAGACTTGAAGCTGTTATTGTTGCCAAAGAAGCTTTAACCAAGTACTAAGTGAAAGGTCTGAATACTTGTGTAAATGGTATATTTCAGTCCTTTATTTTTAATAAATTTACAAAACACAGCAACAATCCTGTTTTCACTGTCATTGTGAAGTACTGTGTGTATATTGATGAGATGAAAAAATGAAATGTAACAAAATGTAACAAAATTTGACAGGGTCTGAATACTTTCAGAATCAACTGTATAGCTCTTCACACTCAGCACTGCCTATGACTGTGATTATGTTTAGGAAGCCCCAACACAAGCATCCAAGAGCCAGACACAGGCGTAATTTATGACCTGGATGGTGGGGACAAAGGCTACAAAGGATCAACTCCCTCGTGTTCCCACTGGATGAGAACTAAGACTTTCCACTGGTGTTTGTTCACATTGTTCCTGCCTATATATGAAGCAGTGTGATTGCTGGAGCACATTTTGGATGAATACAGTGCAGTACTCAGTCAGAGGACAGAGCTTGTTGGATCAGGCCCTTTGTTAAAGGTGCACAAAAAAAAATATTCTCTGCACGTCTTTCAGCAATATGTAGCAGTCAGGTGCTTCTCAGATCCAGGACAGCTATCTGTCAAAGATGCTTTGCCTTCTGTGATCATACTGTTATGCTACTGGTATCAAATTAAACAAGTAATATTGATTGTTCAGTGATATGAAAGTCATGGGCAGCTCCCCTGGGCATAAACATCAGTCTTGCTAACATTAGCACTGTAGCCTACAAACAATACAGTAGTTAGACATACAGTAAGTATACTTACCTAACATTAATAGGTAATGTACTTAGCTAGCAAACTAAATGCTGTTTTGACAGGGCAACCTTACGGTGATTTGGTACTATTAACACTACTTATGACTTGAATAACATTAACCAATTTTGTTTTTTGTGCTGACATTGTAGCAAACAAGAGTAGTTAGCAAAGTTAATTCTTCCAATACTGCAGTTTGCTACTCTGTTTTCTAAAGTATTGGTATGGCTACAGGCTACAAGTAATTATTTTCTGATAAATGGTTGAACCTCTTGCACTATTTATTCTTAATTCAGCAGTCTGGATTGGCATCCTGGACCCTGGGAATAGAAGAAGACATAAGGTCTTATTGCTTGTTAAATGGAAATAGTACGTAGAACAAGGCAAAGTTAGCTCACTTGTTACATTATCAAATAGTACAACCCCATTTCCAAAAAAACATCCCAGAGTGTCAGGACTGGTGGGTCCAAAGGGAAACTAAAACAAAGGATGACTCAGGAGGCAGGGCTTGAAGTCTGGACAACAGACGATTTATTAGAGTAATTTATATTTAGGCAAAGGACTAGATGAGAGAATTGGGACCCCAGGAAGATTGAAAACATGCTGGGCAGGTGAGGGATCTCCCAGTCTGGACAGGTTCTATACATAGGACTAGTGTTTGAAGCTGGCAGGTGAGTGCCACCCCATGGGTAGCTAGCTGAGTCAGACAGGAGAGCAGGCTAAACTGGCTGCAGAGTTGGGAGGACCAGGTGAGGTAGTTGTGCCTGTTGATGTTGCTGGAGACCCAGAGGCACCCAAGTGAGTTGGGCAGGCAGGAGAGTGCTCGGTAAAGCTGGAAACCCAGGAGCACACTGGTGAGTTGAGCAGGAAGGAGAGGTAAATAACTTGTCTCGAACCCACAGATATTGAACTGGGCAAGTAGGGCAACTTTTCTTCTGGAGAATAATGAACTCACAGGTAGGTTGAGCTGTTCTGAAGTGAAGATGGAGAATCAGAGACCCACAGGTAAGTGGGCAGGACAGAAATGGCAACGGCATCACTGTGGAGTCAGGAACAGACAGGTAAGTGAAAACAGGATTCAAGTTCAATCTCTGGAGAAAGACATTATCTTCTCATGTAGCAACATAGGGCCAAAGATGTCTCGGCAGGATCTGTAATGAACTGGCAACAAGCCGTTTCTCCTTGCTGGTTAAGTAGGTCCCAGCTAATGAGTTCATTAGCCACAGCTGTGCCAACCACACCTAAACCAACACCTGCTTGCCAAGGAGAAAGAGAGAGAACGCGAGCTGCCGTAACACAGAGAGGCTTTTATAAGTTAGGCTCAATACTCAATGTGGCAAATAGTTCAACAAATTAAGAATAGCATTTCTCATTTGTGGTTTGTGTGTGATTTTGCGGTTTTCATCACCTACAGTACAGAATATCATTATAAGATTTGGAGAATCTGAAGTAATCTTTGTAAGCAAGGGATAAGGCTGAAAACCAATACTGAATGACTGTGATCTTCTGGCCCTAGGTGACATGGCATTAAGAACCATTTATAAACAATATCCAGACACATCGCCACCTTCCTTGTGCTCAAACTCATTTAAGATGGACTGAGACAAACTGGAAAACTATCCTGTGGTATGGCAAGCCAAAATTTGAGATTCTTTTTGGAAATCATGGATGTCATATCCTCAGGGCAAAAGAAGAGAGGGACCATCCAGTTTATTCTCGGCATCTATGATGGCTTGGGGGTGCATTAGTGCACATGACATGAGTCACTTAACCATTAAAGTTGAACATTCTACAATATACAGGCTTTGGAGTAACATACACTGCCATCCAGATGATGCCTTTTTCACTGGAGACCTTGTTTATTTCAGCAAGACTATGCCAAATCACATTCTGCATGATTTACAACAGCATGGCTCCATAATAAGAGTCTGGGTGCTAAACTGGCTTGCCTGTGGTCCAGATCCGCCACCCTCTGAAAATATTCAGTGCACTATGAAGTGAGAAATACGACAAAGGAGACTCCAAACTGTTGAGCAGCTGAAATTCGCTATTAAGCATGAATGGGAAAACATTTCTCTTTCAAAACTAAAGCAACTGGCCTCCTCAGTTCCCAAATGCTTGCAGTGTTGTTAAAAGAAGAGGTGATGTAACACAGTGGTAAACATGCCCCTGTCCCACCTTTTTTGAAATGTTGCTGTCAAATATTTATAAAATATTAATAATAGGAAAAATAAATCATAACAGGTTTTGTAGTTAGTGTCATGCTTATAAAGTATCTTTATAATGTACCTGCATCATATACAGTGGAGCAAATAAGTATTTGATACACTGCCAATTTTTCCCTCTTACAGAAAATGGACAGTTCCGTAGGTACAGCTCAAGTGTGAGAGATAGAATCTACAAAAAAAATTTCCAGTACATCACATTGTTAGATTTTTAAGTAATTTATTTCCATTTTATTGCATGAAATAAGTATTTGATCACCTGCCAACCAGCAAGAATTTTGGCTCTCACAGACCTGTTAGTTTGTCTTTAAGAAGCCCTCCTATCTTCCACTCATTGCCTGTATTAATTGCACCTGTTTGAACTCGTTACCTGTATAAAAGACACCTGTCCACGCATCCAATCTATCAGACTCCAATTTCTCCACTATGGGCAAGACCAAAGAGCTGTCTAAGGACACTAGGGACAAAATCGTAGACCTGCAAAAGGCTGGGATGGGCTACAGAGCAATAGGCAAACAGCCTGGTGAGAAGGCAGCAACTGTTGGCGCAATTATTAAAAAATGTAAGAAATTCAAGATGACTGTCAGTCAAAATCGGCGGTGTACCAAATACCTATTTGCCCCACTGTACATTATGTGCTATTTATGCATTATAAAAAAAATATGATTTTATTTTATTTATTTATTTTTGGCCCAATACCCCCTGACAAACTTCCATTCCCACCACTTTCCAAATCAGTCCTGCAACCTTGGAGTCAGATCACTGGTTAACTGCTAACATAGAATTCCTTCAGTCATAACAGCATCTATTTTCTGTGATCACACCATGAATTATTCACCCTCTCTCTCTCTCTCTCCCTCTCTGCTTCTTTTTCTCTCTGTTGTAGTTAGCATGATGGTGACGGAATAATGATCAGGGGTTGTACTGCTTCTGGGATGCCTCTGTTTATGGATTGCTCCATTCGTCAAAGGTGATTGACCCCTTCCCACTGGATGCTGGGAGTTATTTTGGTCCGGTCTTAACAGACAGCTTATGTTGTCTGTTCATTCAGTCTCCTGTCCAAGGTCCTTGCTGTTTCACTGGTCTAGTGTTCCCAACATGATGATGCCATATTGATATCTAGTCTTATCAGGATCGGACCTGGTTTTAGTGTGTACCAGCAGAGGTCATGGGGTCTTGGAGTGTTTATCCTAAGTTCTGACTCCTTGTAATCTGTAGACTAGACAGTCATGCAAGTCCCACTGGGTCTTGTTCAGTTAGCATCATCTGTCATTTCTTGAGTCAGACTGGGATTTTAATCATTCAGTCTTTGTAGTCATTGGCCCTGCATGCTCCTCAAACCTGCACTCTGTCTTTCTTTCTCCTCACTGATAAAATGTCGTGCTCTGTGCAGGGGGTTCCTCATCACTGATCTTTTGTGTTACTGACCTTAATGCAACAACAGGGAACTGCTCTGCTATCTTTTTACTTCATATCTACATTAGAATTTTGCACTTCCATCCAGCCCATGCAATATTTCACACCATTTATCAGTACCGGGTAAAACGTGTGGCAAATTATACTGATTGTTCCCGGGGAGTAAGAGTGTGCTGAAATTATAGGTCAACACCACATGGTCTTTTTGGCACTGATTGGCCCAGAGGGGTGCTAAATTCTATGTAGAGAACAGCATGTTTACTGTAATATGGTGTATTTGATTGTGGTTTAGCAGAATAAACAACAAAAATTAAAGGCTCCACAACCTCAATAATAGCTCTGATTATGTCAGCAACCACAGTCTATTTCCTTTTTGAAAAGGTGTGAAGCTACTGACAGTGTTATTTTATGTTAAAGGGTTAGTTCCCCTTAAATGGCAAATACAATACACATATAATTGTTTCTAACCCCCTTGTTTTCTTGTTGAGTTCCTGAAAAACAATTTGTTTCACTTTTGTTTTAAAAATCATAAATTCTAGTCTGGAGTCAGGTGTTGTTCCCTTGACATTTAAACATGCTATGGTGCATCTGCAAATGAACAAACCCAGGCTGGACTGTTAGCGGCATGGTGGCGCAGTGCCTTTCTGTGTGGAGTTTGCATGTTCTCCCTGTGCCTGTGTGGGTTCTTTCCAGGAACTCTGGCTTCATCCCACAGTCCAAAGACATGCATGTTGATTAGTGACTTTAAATTGCCCATAGGAGTGTGTGTGAGTGTGTGGTTGTCTGTCTCTAAGTGTTAGCCCTGTGATAGACTGGCGACCTGTCCAGGGTGTGATTTAAGTTGTTGTGGCTCTGTCTTATTTTAGCAAATAAAGCAAATACCTCGGAGCACCAGCTTCTGTTATATGTCAAAACATTATTTTTATTATGAACAATTATTCATAATTTCAATCAAATTATCAACCTTAAGCATGAAAAGTGAGTTCCTCTCGAAACAGTGACCTCATGCTCACAACAAAAAGGCACCAGGAGAGCAGAAGTGAATTTTATGTGTGTTTATTAATTTATATACACAGTCAATGAAATAGATGCTGATGCAGTTCAAATGGCAAGTAATGATGTAATGAAACAAATAATGAAAATTTAACAGGTTTAATTGAATACCTTATGCATTTATCCTAATTGTTAAGGTGAGATAGAAGTAGTTTCTGATCTATGAAAATGGAGTTACTAAATATAAAGAGTGAATTTGAATGATCAGATAATGGGATTTGAGTTTACTGTACAGCTCAGAGGACACCAGCCTGAGTTTCCAGAAGAATGATAACAGATCTTGCCTGTCTTGTAGGGAGCTGGACCTAGAGGTGATGGAGCAGTACCCTGATGAGGTTTGGTTCAGTTCAGTTGGAGTGCCGGAATGACCTGGAGGTCTCTCCTAGATGTTTTTTGTCACCAAATGTAGGTAGCAGGACCTGTTGATGAGAGTTCTGTAACTCTCTTAGCAACTCTGGGTATGTGCACAGGCAGCAGGTGATGGCTGAGTCTCAAGAAGGCTGTTTCAGCAAGCCACTGGGTGCTGAGAGATGCTGATTCTGATTCGTTCATTTTGGAACAACATTAGCAACAGTCTTCAGGTAGCGGATCTGAAGCAGAGGTGCATACAGATTTAAACAGCTGCAGCTGTGCTCATTTGCATCTTCAGAGTTGGTAAATATGCCATTAAATAAATAAATTAAGGTGCCGCAATATTTTCCACGCCTGATGGTAATTTGCTTCAGATTTAGTAAATATCTGCAAAGGTCTCAAGATGCTTGACAGGGCAGGAGTTTTTAAACATCACATTGATCCCATGCACACTGCAAAAATTATACAAGAGTTTGTAAATAAGAAAAGCATGAAAACTATGACTTGGCCAATTATGTCCCCCAACTTGAATCCAAGAGAACACCTTTAAGAGAATTTTTAACCTGAAGGTACTATGGAGCATTAAAACCCTGAGTGAGCACACACAGAATTTCCTTTGCCTCTGCTTGAACAAACACCATTGAAAGCAGCCTCAATCAGGAAATGACTGTAACGTCTTCTATGAGACAGTCCAGCTACAAGACTTAAATGAGGTCTAATCAACACCAGTAACATTACACACAGTTCCTTTGATTACCTTAACGACTGATGGCGGCGGTCTTGTAGGTACAAAGACTCCAGGGGTTTGGAATGGAAGAATGGAGTGAGGGACTTTAATAAACTGATGAAATGGCTTTACAGTAAATCCAATTGAGCTCCACTGCCCAGCCAAAATTATTGGTTTTCTGCTTCCTCAATGGCATTATCTGAGTGTGCTAAGCACCCAGAGAGCCATTTGGACGGGTGGGAGAAATAAATCCTAGATAGCGTTAGGTATTATATGGCAATAATGCTTAAATACGTCTATTCCTTCCTTTTCATTAATATAATTGTGTCCCAGCTCAGTCATAGACATTGACATAAGTTTTTTGGAACAGAGTCACCCTGCCTCCCTCTCCCTTTCTCTTTCACTGTC